CAACTGGCAAGAGTAATAACTGGGAAGATAAAAATGTGAGATAAAAATTTAAAATTAATGATGTGATATAAATCATATTATTAAATTAATTAATGTATATAATATTATATTTTTTAAAAAATTAATTATTAAATAATATGTAATTTAATTTTTAATATTTTAAATGATATAATTTATCTTACATAGATTTTAAACTTAAATTTTAGTTTCATTTATTATTATTATTAAGTCACAATTGTCATGTTAAATTGTAAAAAATCATTTAGTCTTTGTTTTTTTTTTTAATTAATGATGTGTAAAAGATAAAGCGTTTTTTTGTTATTTGGCATTTTAACCTTTCTACATCATATTTCCATCTTTTCTAAAAAATTTTTTTCTTAATTAACAATAATGTTTTCATTGATTGAATGAAATTTAAAAATTAAAAAGACAAAAAGAAAGAGCCCAAGTAGTAGCGATTCTCGTCTCCATCTCCGCTTGCTCTCTTCTCCAACCATCGTGGTTTATTCTCCAGCCAACCAAACATCAACAAGGTCTTTTAAAAAAAAAAAAAAAAGAACTCCCAATTTTTCTTCCTAATTATTAATTAACAATAAAATTTTTATTATTGAATTAAATTTAAAAAAAAAAAAAAAAAAAAAGGAGAGGGAGCCTAATTCGTTTCCACTTCATTTTCATTTGTAGGCAGCGGTATCTTGGAATTTGACCTCTCATGCAATTTACTTGCTTCACAATTCGAAACCCCTTTCACATCTACATTGCTTTGCACTCCACTCCATAGAATCGTGCGGAATTTTTGGGTTTTCTTAAGAAAATTTCTCTCTTAAAGCAAAACCCAATTACCTATAGGATTTTAAACAAATGAATTTCCCTAGAGACCCATCTTAGAACCCTTCTCAACAGCCTTTAAAATCGAGTTTGAAGCAAGGCAAGTCTAAGCCCAAATCCACAGAACCCACCTTTTCTCTTCCATGCCGTCGAAAATGACTTGGTGCCTAGTTTGAATATAGGCTGGCTGAGCTCGAGCAGTTAGTTGGATAGGTGTTGAAGACACTCTTCGGAAGACACTTGAGTGGCGGTTTTGTGATAATTTTACATTATAGTGTAGTAAGTGATTTTAAATTTAAATAGTAAATATATGGTTGGAGTAAATAAAAATATGAGAAAATGTTATTTTTGTACTATTTAAATTATTTCTTAAAAAGTAATAAAATATTAAAAAAATATTTATCTACGTAAAAGTATGAATAGTAATTATTACTAAATGAGACAAATAGGGATGTAGTGAGTTCCAAGAATTCTTCTATCTGGGTTTCAAACCAACCTAATTACATTAGAATTAGAATTAGAATTAGAATTAGAATTAGAATTAGGCCTGGTCCGTAACCTATATTGGATATAGCTGACAATATTGTTACCCAAACTTAACTAAGATGGAGACAGATTTGAATGGGATATCAGACCTTCCAAACAACATCATCCACCATTTCATGTCCTTCCTCCCCAACAAAGATGCCACCAAAATCAGCGTCCTGTCCCAGAGATTCAGATTTGTATGGACCGAATATCTGGTTATTGCTTTTGAAAGAGACCGTGGAGAACTTGCTAAATTCCACAGAATCATCTCTTAAATGTAGACTCTTAAGTGTCTACATTTGAGAAATATTGAGGTAAACAAGCTTGAGCTTCATCATGTCACCAAATCATGCAAAACGAACTTGTTTCCAAGCTCATTGATTCTGCAATATTAGATAATAATCTCCAAGTCTTAGCTTTAAACTTTAATCATTCTATAGGCCCCACTAATTATTGTGAAATCTTTTGTTTCGCTTTCTTCGACGGTCTGCTCTGCGAAGACATCGCCCTTAAATCAATCAAGATTTTGAAGTCAGGTGGATTGAAATTGGTCAGAGGAGAAAAGAATTTAGTACTCCACTTTCCTTGGATATTTTGAGTCTATCAAGATGTTTGAGGGCCAAGGAACTTACGATTTCGGGTGAAGAACTCGAAACTTTGCAGCTGGATTAGTTCTATGGTTCTTCCGAAATTAATATCCAAGCCTCCAATCTTGAATACTTCTCTTTTCGTCAAGAGGCAAGAGATTTGGAAGCTCCGGCCTGGCAGATAGTTAAGTTAGCTTGTAAGTCACCAAAAACTTTGAAATTGGGAGCTCTAACATTTCCAACAAAGTTGGCTGAAAGCTAGGATGTATAGCTGAGGGACGGTTGTTGGTGGTGGCAAAGGAGTTTGGATTCAAAGGCAGTTACAGGATTGAAGGCAAAGCTTGTGAGTGATATCATTGGCTGCAGATGGATGGGAGATTAAGGATTATTTGGCATAGGAAAGGACCAACAGTTGGTGGGTAAAAACTTCCCTTGTAAGCTTGCAATTTTAGTGAAAATTTTCAAAAGTCTTGACTATTCAATAGGATAATCCTCTCACCTAGGTACCTCTAATTTTACCCCTACAGCAATTGCTTTTAATTCCTAATGATATATGGTTCTTTATGCCTAAATGTCTAGAGTCATCGTGGATGTAATTTAAATATGTAATTAGTGCTATAAGAGTGTTTACTATTATAAAAATGTTAAGGCCACCAATTTGACAATTGTTTTTTCTTAAACAAAATTTAAAAATATTAGTTTGTAAATGGCTAAATTCAAAAAATCATTTATTAACTTTCAGTTTAATTTCAGTTTCATTTATTATCTTTAAATTATTTCAATTCTGTCTATTATCTTTCACATTTATTTCAATTTCATCTAGACAGTTAAAGTTAACAGAAATCTTAACAAAAATCTTCTTAAATTTAGTACTCTAACTATGTTTCTTTTAATCTTTTAGTCCTTAAATTTATATTCACAATAAAAATAGTTTTTATTCTTATTTTGCTAAAAGTGTTTTTCAAAAAATTATTTTACAGAGCAGACTGCATTCAGTCCATCCTGTAAAATTATTTAAATACCCTTAATTCTATTTCTATATTATTTTTTTATGAACATTTAAATAATTTTATAAGACAGATTGTACACAGTCTGTCCTATAAAACAGATTTACCTGTGAAATTTCTTATTCTAAACTTATTGAATTTCTCTGTTTGAATTACAATCTATCTCTATAAACTATTTTTTGATTCATCATATTTTATTAAGATTTAAGTGTCACTTTTTTAAAACTCAAAGGACTGCTTTTTCCTCAAATCTAACAGCAATCTAACGTCATTTTTGTACGGTAGACTAATTTGAAATATTCGTCAAAGTTTCTAGATCATTTAGAAACGAAACAAACTTTCTAGACTAAAATGAAATTAAACTGAAAGTTAGTAAATGATTTTTTGAATTAAGCCGTTTGTAAATTGATTTTAATTTGTTAATTAATAAATATCAACTGTTTTATTAGTTATTAGTTAATGTTTCCATTATTAATCATTTTTATCAATGAAATTAAACAAAATCAATATTTTAAAGAATAATATTTTTCCTTTTTTTTTGGTGGCCTTAACATCTTAATTGGTAATTATAACCCTGCCCATGCAATAGGTTATACTTAGTTTTACACTATAATAACATGCATGATATATAGAGATATTGATGTAATTTTTTTTACTTTTCTATAAAATTTATATTTCCCGCAGAAAAGAAAGGATGTTAGAAGGTTTTTGATTCAATGACAACATAATGTAGAAAAAGGAAGCAGATTTTTTTTTTTTTTAAATGCTAATTAAAATTTTGGAACAAGTCACGGAGCCATTTTGAATCTTTGAGTCTCTACTTACACAGCTCATGTAAAACATCCCTCATTTCAAGGCATCAGGCATAACATTAGCATATGAAAGAAGTAAACAAAGAAAGAGCTCACCTCTTTCTCTCTCAAAATCTCATAGAATGATATAAGATAAAAAGTGCTTTTGTGGTTGGTGCTCAGGCTAAGACCAAGTACGAAACGCAACAGAGAACAATGATAGGTGAAACAGAAACATAACAGCAGAGGAAAAAGGAGGGAGAGACTGCGTATATCGTCTCCTTAGGTTGAAGAGTCCCTTAATCAGTTTTGAAAAAACTATATGCTCAGAGTGATGTTAGACCTCCTCAGTGTTAAGCATTCACTGCATTCTCAATAAAGCAAGCCAGTTTCTCTCTCACAAATAACACTACACGACTCCCCACCTATTGTGTCTTTCCATCTTATACGTGTGTATGTATAAATTTCTCAGAAGACAACATAGTTCAAAAGTTGTTACTAATTAAAAGTGTCCTTAACGAGAAAGAGAGAGAATGAGCTATAGAGAGAGAAAACCAGAAAGAAACCCAAACTTCAACCTCGTCCCTTTCCGTGCCGGCAAGAGGCCATCTAGAAGGGACCAAATCCAACCAAAGCGTCATCCGGTGAGGGAGAGACCAACCCGTGAAACCCAACTCCACCACAACCCACAGAGAAGTAAGGCGCAGGGACCTGAAAGGGCAGATCGAGAGGAATGGTCAAGAAGACAACAGCATCCATCTTACGATTATGGCAAAGGAGTCCTGGAAAAAGCTATCCCATTCTTCTTCACCAACTTTCCAGAAGATTGGGAAATGGGAGAGATGTGGAGGGTGTTCATCAAAATAAGGAGAGTGATTCAAGTGTTCATAGCCAAAAAACGAGACCAAAAAGGCAAGAGGTTTGGTTTCGTTAGATTCTTGGAAGTTAAAGACATTAGGAGTGTGGAATATCAACTAAACCAAATCAAAATTGGTCATCAAACTCTGCAAGCAAACCTTGCAAGATTCTCCATGCATGAGACACAAAAGAAGAGGGAAGAAAACAAAGCAATCAAAGCCAAGGATCAACCGTATGCCGGAGCTCTGGGGGCAACGGGGCCACAAATAGAAGGACACCGATCGTATGTCGATGTCGTCAGATCCAATTTAGGAAGAATAGATAACAAGACAAAGCCACACTGGGCATGGAAGATGAAGAAACGAGCTGGAGCGGCAAAAGAAGAAAAGGAAGACTGGAATGGAATGGAAGTTCAAGCAGACGAAAAAAACATAAGGAGGCTGGAGAATTGCTATGTTGGACGAGCAAAATGCCCTGAAATCATTAGCACCCTTCAAGATAAATTTGCAATGGAAGGATATTTCTCAGCCAAGGTTACTCCAATGGGAGGCAACTTAGTGTTACTATCAAGTGGGAACAAAGAGGAGCTTAAACACCTTGTGGATGAAGGACGTGAATGGCTTGCACAATGGTTTACAGATGTAAGACCATGGACTCCAGAGGAAGTGGCAACTGAGAGATTCACGTGGCTTAGATGTCAAGGAGTGCCACTGCACATATGGAAGAGTAATTTCTTTGAAACAGTGGCATGCATGTTCGGACAATTTGTTTCATTAGATGGGAGCACCATTAAAAAATCCAAGTTGGATGTGGCAAAGATCTTGATCCTAACACCACTGCAAGAAAACATTAAGAAGGTCCTGAAGATCCAAGTGAAGAACAAGCTTTTCCATATCAGGATCAGTGAGGAATTGGAGTGGACAACATATTTTCACTCCGCTCAGATTTCTCTTTATGTAGAAATGATGATTCCAGTCCAGAAAGTTGGTCTGAAGGATCCAACTGGGGTATGATTGATGAAGAAGAAAGTTGGGACCAATGGGAAGTTGCCAAAGAAGAGGACGAAGTGGAGAATGAAAACAATCTAGTTTTAGCTTGGGTGTTGGAATCTTCACCGCCGGAGGAAGAATTTGAAAACAATCTGGAATCAACTAGGGCGCTGAAATATTCATCACCAGAAGAGGAGTTTGAAAATGTTCCAGAGACCTTAGATTTGACTGAAAACACAATTAATGCTGGGCAGCTTCTTTCAAATCAACGGAGGGGTGAAGGTCTCAAGGAAAATATCATGATAGAACAATGGGGAGTTGAGCCAAGAGTTAACGGGAGTCTAAAACAACAAACAGATGGAGAGGATGAAGGAAAGATATCTAATGAAGACACATACCCTCCGGGTTTTGGTCCAAAATGGAGGGAATTGGGCCTTATTACAAACCTTGGGCCAATGGACTGGACAAAGTGTAGCCATTCGGTGGAACAACAAAAAGCAATGGCCCAGAACCAAGAAGTTGACAAAGGAGAAGAGAAGGCTCCAGATGGAAAAAGTACCCAAAAAGGAGCTTATGACAAAGGGAACAAAGACTCCACTTGCAGAGCAAAACCAACAGCAACAGGACAGGCGGAGAGTAACGATGACGACTCAATTGAAGAAGAAAGAAGAACCCAGCCCTTTTGGGAAGGCTTGGCAAGTGACAATGAAATCCTGCAATCAAAAGTTGAGAGATTAGCCAAACAAAGAAAGATGGAGAAGAAAAAATTAAAGCTAAGGAAGGTAACAACAAGGAGGAAGACACAGCTGAAGCAAAAGTCATATCTGAAAGGAAGAAACAAAAAATGCACATCAGAAGTAGAGCCTCAAAAATTCACAATAGAAGTAGAGTCTCGATCGAGGGGGGGTGCGAACAGAGCCAATACTGGAGCAGATCTCAACCTGAATGACGATGCAGAAGAGCTTTGGAATATAGGAAAGCAGCTCGGTCTAGTGGAGAAAAACAATTCTGCAGAAATAATCAAAAAGCTAAGTGAGATGGAGAAGCAGGACAAAACTGCGCTAGCAAAGCAAAGATTGGCAAAGGCAGAGAAAAAAGGAGTACAACCGGTCAACCCATGAAGATCTTATCGTACAATGTAAGGGGATTGGGGAAAAGCAGTAAAAGAAAGGCTGTGAGGGAACTGATAAAAAAAAGAGCAGGTGGACATGATTTTCATCCAAGAAACAAAGCTTAAGCAAATGAATGATAGATTGATACACTCTATATGGGGATCAACAATTTGTGAATGGGTAATGAAACCGGCTCAGGGTAGTGCAGGAGGTCTACTTTGCATTTGGAATCCAAAAATTTTCACAATGTTTAAGAAGATGGAAGGGTTGGGATTTTGTGGTATGGCTGGAATCTGGGGTGGTGATCGGATCCCCTGTTTCTTCATAAACATTTACTCTTCATGCAACAAACAAGAGAAAAGGCAGATGTGGACAGAGCTACAAGGATTAATCAAGGATTCAGGGGGAGGAAACTGGTGCTTAGCAGGTGACTTCAATGCAATAAGGGGTAATGAAGAAAGAAAGGGCAAATGGTATGACCCAGGTGAAATGAGTGAATTTAACAACTTCATTTTGGAGGCAGGGCTAACGGAGATATCACTTTTAGGCAGGAAATTCACTTGGTACAAACCCGATGGATCTGCAATGAGTAAGTTAGATAGATTCTTACTGTCAAATGAATTTTTGCTATGCTTTCCTGATATTACATTGAGAGGTCTGAGGAGGGATATCTCAGATCACTGCCCAATCTTGCTAAAAGATATCTCCGTAGACTGGGGTCCTAAACCATTCTGATGCCTTGATTGCTGGTGGAACCATGAGGGCTTTGCAGATTTTATACAAGATAAATGAAATAATATAACAGTTAATGGTTGGAGTTGCTACAGATTAAAAGAAAAATTCAAGAAGCTTAAAGCAGAATTGAAGAAATGGAACAGGGATGTGTTTGGAGATATTGATAGCAACATTGAAAAGGCAAAAGAGGAAATAAGAGTCCTTGACGAGAAAAGGGAAACTGGGATTCTTTCAGAAACAGAGACAAAGAGAAGACAAGAGGTTTTCCACAACCTATGGGAGTGGAATAATGCAAGAGACAGCTTACTACATCAGAAGGCAAGACAAAAATGGTTAAAAGAGGGTGATGCAAACAACAAGTATTTTCACTCTTGTGTGGCACAAAGAAGAAAATTCAATGGGATTGAAGGAGTCCTAATCAATGGGGAATGGGTTGAAGAAGTGAAGGAAGTTAAAAAGTTCATCAAGGAATTTTTCAAGGAAAATTTTGAAGAAGACAAATGGGAGAGACCAGAATTAATGTTGGATAACTTCAAGAAACTCTCAATTGAGGATAATAACTCACTAGTGTCCTGCTTCACAGAAAAAGAAATCCAAGAAGCAGTTTGGGGGTGCAACGGAAGCAAAAGTCCAGGACCAGACGGCTTCAACTTCAATTTTGTGAAGAAAATGTGGCCAGTTTTGAAAAAAGACATATGTGACTGGGTGGCAGAATTCCACAATAATGGCAAATTAGCTAAAGGGAGCAATGCCTCATTGATAGTCTTGATTCCAAAAAAGGAGAACCCTCAAAATCTGGGAAAGTACAGGCCAATCTCACTTATTGGTTGTATATATAAAATCATTGCCAAGATTTTAGCAAACAGATTAAAGAAAGTTATGGACTCCTTAATAGGGCCCCATCAATCTGCTTTCATTGAAAGAAGACAGATAACAGATGGCATTATCATCCTCAACGAGATGCTGCATGAAGCCAAGAGTAGCAAAAAGCCAGTTCTAATCTTCAAAGCAGACTTTGAGAAGGCATTCGACAGTGTAAACTGGAACTTCCTCGACAACATGATGGGAAAATTTGGATTTTGTCACAAATGGCGTTTATGGATTCGAGAATGCATATCATCAGCCACAGTTTTAATCTTGGTTAATGGTAGCCCTACTGAAGAGTTTCAGATGGAGAAAGGGCTTCGGCAAAGGGATCATTTGGCTCCATTCTTATTCCTCATGATAGCTGAAGCTTTAAATGGACTTATGAAGAAGGCAGTGAACGAGAATATGTTCAAGGGAATTGAAATTGGGAAGAGCGGGCTGAAACTCTCACACCTCCAATTCGCTGATGATTCCATATTCTTCTCTGAAGCAACAGATCAGAATGTGATGGTTCTAAAAAGTGTCTTAAGGTGCTTTGAGATGGCATCTGGCCTAAAAGTTAATTTCTTCAAGAGCTCCCTAATAGGATTGAATGTGGAGAAGAATGAAATGGAAATATTTGCAAACAAGCTCAATTGTGCTATCGGTCAGATCCCCTTCAAATATCTGGGGGTGTTGGTTGGCTCAAATCCGAAAAGACTATCCACATGGACCCTAATGATTGACACGATGAGAAGGAGGTTGTCTAATTGGAAGAGGGATACACCGTCTTTTGGTGGACGCATTATCCTTCTAAATTCTGTCCTTTCAAGCATCTCGGTGTATTACTTCTCAACCCTTAAAGCACCAAAACAGGTAGTGCTTCTACTCACTAAAATTCAAAGAAATTTCTTGTGGGGGAGGGGGGGGAGTGAGGGTCATAGGAAGATGGCTTGGGTTAAATGGGAAAACATTTGCAAAAAGAAGTTAGAAGAGGGCTTAGGAGTCAAAGATCTACAAAAGTTCAATATAGCATTTCTAGGGAAATGGAGATGAAGAATACTAGAAGGAAAAGAGGCATTATGGAAACAGATTTTGGAAGTAAAATATGGAATGGATAGAAGGAAGGTGTGGGACGGCAGCAAATGGAAGGGATCATGCTCGACATGGTGGAGGAATTTATGGGAGTTAGATAGTGCAAAGGGTGTGAAAGAGGGTTGGTTTAAGGAAGGGGTAGTTAAAAAGATTGGGGAAGGAAAAGATATGTTGTTTTGGCATGAGAAATGGGTAGGGGATAGGTCATTAAAGGAAAAGTTCAATAGGTTATTCAATTTGTCTAGCGAGAAAGATACTTGTATTGCAGACATGGGACAGTGGAATAATGGAGAGTGGACATGGACTTGGAGATGGAGAAGGAACCTATTTGTATGGGAAACTAATTTGCTACAAGAACTTTGCTCAATGCTTGAAGGAATAAAACTAACACAAGGCAAAGAAGACAATTGGATGTGGAAACACAACTCAAAAGGTAGTTACACCGTGAGATCAGCCTACAACATCATAAACCAGAATCAAGAAAGTAGACAGGATGCTCAATACAAGCTCATATGGGACAACAAACTACCTTTGAAGATCTCTGCTTTTGCATGGAAAGCCCTACAGAACAGGATCTCAACCAAAGACAACCTGTTGAAAAGAGGATTAATTGAAGATAACACAGAAGCAAAATGCATCCTATGCGGAGAAAAAGTTGAAACATCAACACACATCCTCTTCTCATGTCCAATCTCATGGAAAATATGGTGCCTGTGCTATGATTGGTGGGACATCCAGATAGCAACACAAGAAGGAGGATGGAATCACCTAAAGCAACACAAAGGATTGGTAAATAACAAAAATATAAATCAGGTTTGGATGTCCATTTGGTTTTTCACTGTGTGGTCTATTTGGTTATGCCGGAACTCAATAATTTTCAAAAGAGAGGTTGTGAATATTGAACATGTTTTTGATCAAATCAAGTTTAGTTCCTTCGCGTGGGTCAAAGCAAACAGGTTGCCGGACTTATCCCAAGCACTTTGGTACAATCAGCCTAAGGAAGCATGCAGAATACAGACACAGTAACTCCCTCTTTTGTTTTGCTACATAGAAAGAAATCTGCTCTTTGCTGAAGCTGGAGTATGGCCTTTCACCGTCCCTGCTACTTTTTTTGGGATTAGTACTGTAAATGGGTTGAGGTACCCCTTGTACCTTATCAATAAAATTCTCTTTGCTGATTAAAAAAAAATGTATAAATTTCTCAGAAATTCTTTCCCGTCTTTTTCCCTTGCCTTTGTGGTATAAGGACCCATTGTTATAAGCTGGAAGAAATTCACCCAAGCAAAAGTATTGAAGTGAGAGCGAAGCAGTATTTTTGGTAGAGAACCAAGTGTGGCCCAAACACTTTTACGACTGGCCATAATTATTGCCTAATTCAAGACCAGTCTTGCGCTCATCAAATGACCTGTCCAGATGTTGGTCAATCTTTTTATTTTATTAGAAGAAATATTCTCCATTTCTTTCAAATCCAAATATATGCTCTTCCACATCCTTTTAAAAGTCAGCCTTTTACTGAAAAATAAAAAAATCATCCTTTTGCAAAACATTTGATATCATCCCTTTAATTAGTAAATAAGCTACGTTTCTTCAGCAGTTTCCTTTCCATTTTATATGATCTCTTATTTTGGACTTCCATACGATTCCACTTTCAACCGTAATTCTTTCTTTCAATTAGTGTGAAAAGATTGAACATGTGGGTGGATCTTCCGTTTAAGCCACATGGTTCATTCTTACCGTTTCAACGTTAGATTTCCGTTAATTAACATACCATCTTCACATGTAAGTTTCGTATATTTTTAGGATATATTACACTGTGAAAATTAGACATGAAATTTAACACGAGAATTGGTTTCTTTGTTATTTTCTAGGGGAATGAGAAAAGTCAAAATGTATATATAGTAGCAATTAAAATATCAAAAATGATAATAACAAGGATAAAAATACTTTTAATAAGTCAACATGTAAGAAAAATTCATTAAAAGTATTTGAATAATTTCACAAAGAGCCTTAATGTCTTGATTTTCACTTTTCTTTATTTTCAATGTGAGATTTCCCAACATAATATGCCCTTTTCTCTAGTGGAAGCCCATTAACATGCCCTTTTCTCTCGTGCAGACCCAAACTGGCCCAAGATTTCAAGCTTTGCAGGAATGAAATCTAAACTCTAATATTGTGTGAAAATTAGATATACAAATTTTAATAACAGGCTTGAATCTGACTTAAGATCAATTACGAATAGATGAAATAACCCTCTTTATATTTAATTCACATATTTGATGTTACTTTTTTAATGTAAAACTTTCCCATTTTAATAGCAGGGCTTCATGTCGCATGACTTCTCCATGTATCCTTTTTTGGTTCACTTTCATAATTTACCTATAGGGCTTCATACTGAATGTGGGGGTCAATTAATAGGTGGGTGACTTAGGAAAGTCCTTAATTGAAGTTGATGATGAGCATTTTCGATCCTTGCAAGTTCAAATTACTCTACCTATGGGAGCTCCTTTGAGAAGATTTATTAGTACAAAATTTTTAGAAATAGAGTTAGACAACTACTAATTAAGTGTGAGAGATTACTTGAATTCTGCTATGTATGTGGTTGCATGGGTCACTTTGAGGTGAATGTGATCTAGGATTCAGTATGAAGGATGTTGGGTAGAAGATATTAAAATAGAATGATGAATGGCTCAGAGCCGAATTAGTTGATGCCTAGGGGCTAATTGAAGTGCAAGAATTTGGTCTGTCTATTAGTCAAGACTCTCAAAATTATGAGAGGCCTTGACCAAAGAGAGGCTGAAGTGCAGTTGTGCAGTGTGAAAATCAACTAGTCCATATAGAGTATAAATCTACTGGTAAGGAAGTTGTGAAAGCAAGCAAACAAATAGAATTGGTGACTAACTCCTTGGAGTAGCAAGAGTCGACGACCACTCTTGACGATATTCCTTTTTGCTGTTTGGCCAAAATGATAAAGAGGAAGGGTTGTGCTTCGCAAAAGACCTAGAAAAGAGCTAGAAGGGGTTTGGCCTTATCTTTGAGTAAGAAAAAGGAAAGGGAAGAGGAAGTTGGCTTTGGATGCATTTGAAGATGGAAGGGTGACTAAGGCTAGAGTGGATGACTCAAGCATTGCGGGGGCAATGCAGGTGGAGGTTTTCCATCCATATGTGGATAAGAAATTTATTTGAGTTTGGACAGAATATTATAGTGTTGGGAGACACTACACAAGATTGGATGATAAAATAGATATAATTACCAATAGTAATGGTAAGTTTTAGAATAATCTTTCTATGTTGATACATAACTCTATTAATACCTCTATAATGTATACTAGTATTTAGATGTTCTTAGTTTTTAATTGTTCTATTTGTAAGGAACACTAAATTCTATATGTTAGTGTTATAGATTTTTTTTAGCTTAATTATATTTTTTGCACACTTTATATGACAAGGTATAATTTGTATTATAATTATTTCAATTATTAATACAACTATATTTTCTTTAAAAATTATATATATAAAATAAATAATAAATAAATAAATAAATAAATAAACATGTGCAAGCTAATAAATAAGGATTTGACGGGAAATGGGGCATTCTCTAATCACATGTAAAAATTTAACATATAAATCAACACACAGTACAAATAGGCACAAAGGGCAAATCAGCCCCTTAGCTGAAAATGGTGGCAAATGAACCCTCAAACCCTTGAAATGGTGGCAAATCAGCCCTTTTTAGACGGAATTCAATTTAACTAACAGAGCGCGTGTTTGGGTGAGATCTAGGATGATGATGTAACCTTCCATATCCAAGTGTCTTAGTGCTACATAATTTTAATATGATTAATTTGGAAATTTTTATAAGAAAATAAACAAATACTCCATATGTCTTAAAATAATAATAATTATTATTATTTTTAATTAAGGAGTTAAAAATAATATTTGTATTTATTTATAATATCTTTAAAAAAGAAATAAATTTTTTTAATTAAATAATTAATTAAATTGAATAGATAAAAATAGAGTTAAAGTATAAAAAAATATTTGTTCACATTAAAATATAAAAAAATTACAATTAATTTAAAACAATTTAAAACAAAAACAATAGTTATTTTAGAATAGAGGAAATATTAAAATCTATTTTTTTAAGAAAAAATCAAATATCCATATTTGCTCTTGCTTCAGTATAATTATACAAAATTTTAGTATTTTAAATATTAAGATGTCATGGATTTATCTTTCTTTAATTAGAATTCATTTATGTTAGGTTATAATTTAATTAAATCTGTTATTATTTAAAAAAATTATTAATTTAATATTAAAATAAAAATTAGGTCAAAGTTGAGTTGTGCCCTCTTTTATATCTATGCGTGGTTTTGAAAACCAGACCGATGATCGAATGATTTACTCATTGGTTCTCGATTTGGTCAGTTTGATCGATTCAATCAGTCAACCGATTAACCGTCCGACCAGGTCAATCAAAAACACTAGAATTTGCAATCCTGGGTTTTCCCGACAGAATTATGTTGTTGTTTTAAGATTTTTTCCTTGCAATTTGTACCAAATACAAGTACAAAAACTTAATCAATAGATTAAAAAGTGTCATACAATTACAAATCTCAAAATTAATAAATCTCGTACATACATATATATGAAAAATAAGTTCAAAAACTCAAACTAATATGCAAATGATACATAAATTAAAATTGTTCATTGTTTATCCCTTAATTGAGGAAGATTTTCATTAAACCAAGCATCATGTTTGCGAAAATCATTTTCACTATCATAAATATTATCATTTTCTTCCCCAATTAACTCCAAGTCAATTCCTCCACTTGCACCACCAATATGGAATGATTCTTTTTCACCACCTTGTACTTTTCATCACCTTGTACTTTTTCATCAATATTATGTGTGCCACCTTAAAAGTTAAAAAATAAAAACATATAATAAATCAAAAGTAACAAAATAAATCATAATTTAAAACTAACTCACATAATCAATAAAATAATTCATGAAATGACAAAATAATATAATAAATTTAAAATCAAAATACTATGAAAAAAAACTTTGATTATTAATTGTGAGCTTATCAGCAAATGCAAATGGAAGAAATAGCAGCGTGATTAATTGTTGAGGAGGAAGGAAAATAATATTTACGGCAGCAGCCTCGGATGGACGGTGAAGGCCGGTGGTGGTGGGTCTTGGCTAGTGGGTGAACGCCAATCTGCTACCCGATCTATTGACTTGTGCTTTCTTCTTCATCGGAAAAAAGATGGAGACTGAAGAATGGAGAATGGAGACTGGAGACTGGAGAAGCCAAGAAGGAGAACCGATGGATGATGAACACTAGAGAATGGATTTTCTGATTTTGTTTTGTTGTGGTAAGAGTTGAGGCTTGAGAGTTGGAAGAGTTGAGAATGGAATGACTGAAAGAGTTAATGAAATTAGAAAACCCCGACTGTGGGGAAAAAAAAAAAAGCTACAGAGCGTGCGTCAGTGCGTCCAGCTTGGAGTAATTCTCCCGGCAGGTTTGCCGAGTTTGCCAGGTGGGACGGGTTAAATGGGTTCTCTGGGTTTGGATGATTGGCCCGACCAAATGGGCCTAGGTGTGAACCCAGCCCGTTTTAGGCTTCAAGTGGCAGTCAGACCTGTAGGATTGACCGATCCGGTCTGAGTTTCAAAACATTGTATCTACCCCCACAACCAAGTCATCCAAATGATATCTGTGTTTGGTGTTTATAGGAAAACGATTTTGAGACAACCTTTTTGTATTACCTTTTGATATAACCTAACGTATCATTTAAATAATTGGTTCTTTTAATTTATGTGGGATCCGTAATATTGAATTCATCCATTTATTTAATAATATATGAAAGTTATATAAAAAAAATGGTATAAGAGGATTGTCCTGATAGCATTGATTGTGTTTACATGTCCATATACCGCCAAGGAAGCAATGGGGCCCATAGCAAATTGAGCTTGCTGTTAGTTTTCATGGAATGATGACATCATCGGTCAAATAGGGGCTGATTTGCCACCATTTCAAGGGTTTGAGGGTTCATTTGCTACTATTTTTAGTTAAGGGGCTGATTTGCCACCATGTAAAGAGTATAGGGGCTGATTTGCCCTTTTTTGCCATACAAATATTTAATTTAAAATCACTTGATAAAGTGTAACTTAGCTCATTTTATATTTAAGTGATGTTTTTCTTTTTTATTATTTCAACATAAGATGTTGCCACTTAACAGTTACCAAATAAACTAAATATATCTCCCCTTCTTTCTTAAGTATAGTTCTGAAGCAAGGTGTTAATTTGAGACTAAAAGGGCAACCATTGTGTTTTTCTAGAGATGAACAAACAAACAAAATTGAAATACTTCAAGAGGATGCAGAAAAACAAAATGTCTTAATATTAAAATACTAAGATGTTCAATCACAATTATAAAATAGATAAGATATTATGTAAGTTTTGTTTAAGTTCTATTCATTATATAATTAAGATTAAATATTTTAATATTTTTAATATTGAAATATCTTAATTTTTATTTGTTTTAATACTGTAAATTCTAAACCTCATATTCTTTTTGAGTCATTTCAAAATTAAAATCGATCTATCAGGTTGCCAATGGTTTCGGAAACAATAATATAAAATAATTGCCCCGTATTCGGAAAAGTTTAGGATATTGTAGTTATATTTACATCTTAATTTCTTTGCCTAATATATCCACAATCTTAATACTATAGTAAGTAAAAGCAAAGTTGATATTTTTAGGTTTTATTTTTCTAACACAATTTTAATTTTTAATAAGTAAAATTTTTTCACTTTTTTTTAGTTAAGAGTAAAAAGTTTATCTTAATTTTATAACGACTTGTTTAGTTTGAGTATGGATGGCAATTTCCTTCGAATCCCGCGGGGATGGGGAGCATTTTCCTCTTATGAAATTTTGCGGGGAATTTTTCCCGCCCCGTGGGGCCCCGCAAAGATCCCCATCCCCGCAAAAATTAAAATAAATATAAATTAGTTTTATTTTAAATTTAATTTATCTTTCAAACTCAAAATCAAATCCAAACCCAAACACAAACCCAAACTCAAGTTCAAACTCAATTCAATCAAAATTAAACTTAACCCAATTTTACCTAACCTAACCTAATTTTACCTAACCCAACCCAACCCAACCCAATCCATAAAAATTAACCCAATTCATTCCCCTACTTACATTTAACCTTAACCCTAATTCATTTCTCAATTTTCATTTTCACCTTTCCCTCCATTATTGGTTTAATTTTTGTCTATGTTTTAGTTTAGCTTGGATTAATCTTTATTTATGTTTGGAACAAATTTGTTAATTGTTGGTTTAGTTATTTATGTTGAATTGATTTTTATTTATATTTTGACAATTCATATTTAAAAATTTTAATTAATTGTATTTGAATTTTTAGAATTTTATTCATTATAATTGAATATTAATTAATTATATGTAAAAGATAAAAAAATTTATAATTTAATATTAATTGATGGGGAATGGGGATCCCCGCGGGGAACGGGGATGGGGGGCAAAATCTGCCTCCCGTCAAAAATCCCCGTGGGGATCTCCCGTCCCCACCATTTGCGGGGACGGGGACGGGGACAGGGAGGGACTCCCTAGCTCCACGGGGCTCCGTTGACATCCCTAAGTTTGAGTGGAGAAGGGACATTAGGAGTAGTATAAACCGATGAAATTATCACCTTGACCCAAGACTTTATTTAATTGGTCCCCTCCTCCCCTCCCCTAGGTTTCCTTAAGGTAAACAAAGTATTAATGTGGGACACATTTGTCAATTTTCTTGTTATAACTTTATCAATATTAACTTTTACCAAATATAAAGTACTAAACTGCTTCAATAAAATTTAATTACCAAAGTTATTAGTAACTTTTTATATGGTGTTCTCAATTTTTTAAATAGTGCCTTCCCAATCATTTTTTTAGTAAAAAATTTTGAAAAATAATTCAAATGGATAATTATACATACACCCAAACAATCAACACTCACCTCAACACTCAAGGCTTGTAAACAGTAAAATTACAAATTTACCTCTCCTCATTTTAGCCTTAGGTGTTGATTGTTTGGGTGTATGTATAATTGTCCAATTCAAATATCCTTTAGTTTGATACATATGTCAGGTGTAGTTATCAACACATAATAGATGAGCAGTCGATTCAACTGATTTTTTTATATTGCATGCATAATTGCTTGTTTAACTTTTTTGAATTAAAAAATAATAAATTTTTTTATAGGAGCATTGTACAATCTCCAAAAATTTTACTAATAAAATTTTTTTCAAGCCAAAGAGGGGAACATCTAATTAATCTTGTTTCAGTGGGTGAAACTCAATTTTCTTTCTCTATCCTCAAGACACATTTAGATACTCAAACAAAGCCGTATTCTGAAATATTCCCCTAATCTTGTTTTTTCCATTGGAAAAACCAACATGGTCCAAATGCATTTTAGGATAACCCTTGTTTCAAGCCATCCACATCCTACCATGGCACCATTTCCATGATATGTAAACATCAAGGGTATAAGAAAAACAGTTTCAAATTCCCAACAAAATACGAAAACTAAACATTACCATTGTTTTACATACATGGCAAAGTGAAATTCCCTCTACAGCGGTAAAGTCTAGTTCTTCAATGGGAGGAACTCAAAGAACTGGTAAGGGGTTAAGTTATCATTCATGGCAGCCACTGATATCTCAGTCTCTTTCTTAGTGGTGTTATCGCTACTGTCTTCACTACAAAGGGGGAAGAGTTTAAGGGTTTGAGATCCCCCACACCCCTCTTCATCATTTCTAAGGTAGCTCAAGTGGCTAATTAATCCATTGTTGTGCTCTCTTTCTGATGCCAAAAATATGTTCAAAAGGTCATGTGTCCTGATTGAACTTATGGCAGTTGCTAATGGTGCCATGGCTGTGGCAGTGATGGTGGCAGGGGTGGAGAAGGTGGCAGTGGTGGTGGCGGTGGTGGTACTGGCTGTGTTTATGAGGTTGGTGAAGCCATTCCTTTCCATAATGTTCCTCCTGTAGTGTAATTCTGCTTCATCTAACTGGATCCATCCATCCGATCTACACTCTGTCAACGCTGCTTTTACTGCCCTTGGCATTAAGACAGATTCCTGAGAAAATTCAAATTAAGTAGACCGTGCAAAATGTGAAATTTCTTAGAGACAAAAGAAATGCCACAAATTTGGCCGCTTCCTAGTCCCTACATATTGTAATAAATAGAATAAAGTGTGATAGTCCATGAGCTGCCAAAATGTAGAATCGAGAAAGTTTAGTGACTTATAGGGATAATTGTGAGGTGGTATCTCTAGCCAATAAAAAAACTTACACCTTAGAAATCTTTGTAAATCTAGTACAATAGCTCAACATATCTTTCACACACCAACACAATTAAGGAAAGGAAAATGAGATGGAGACAATTTTTAGGTAAAATTTTTAATACAACTTTACATATCAATTAAAATTTAGTTTTTCCTATATATTGGTCTCATGATATTAAATATATATATATATTTATTTATTTAGTAACATGTCTAAGTTATAAAAAAAATAAATAAACAAAGATTCTCTCTGAATCACAACCCAACAATTTAAATAAAATGTAGAGGTTTAGTTTAAGGTGTCAACTTTTCATTGATTGGAAAATTTGACGTGGGAAAGAGATGCTACGCCACAAATGTCACGGGGATGCATAAGAATTTTTCCCATGAACCCTAGCAAGTTTCGTAACAGCAGCACTGGCAGAAAGGAGGTAGTGCAGCTTTTAAGCCCTTTTCATTACCCAACAAATCGAGCTTTGCTCTCTTGTAAATCTTCCTCATGTTAATTTAAATCTATACCTTAACATGAAATACTAATCATGTGCAAAGTATGATATCAGCACTTGATTTCATGTTATGGTTCTTTCTAGGGTTGAAGGTGAATTTTCTAGTCTATGGAGAGAAAGACAAAGGAAATCAGAGAATAGACCTTTGCTATTGTACTGCAATTCATAGAGGTTGTCCAGTTCTTGCCCTGATCAACTTCATACCCTGTCTGGTCTGCCTCTGTAAACAAAAAGAAAAACAAAAATAATGCAACTTTACATCTCACTAAAAACATCTAACATATCCCTTCATGTGAACAGGTATTAAAGAATCTTTTCGTGCGGTATGATAGTAGGTATAATAGTCTTGTTAAAGGTAAGTTATCCAAATCGAACTAGGAAATTAACCTTAAGATATAGATATTAGAGATTAATGCTGAAACTATTTTCTTTTCTGATTACCTAAATCTTTCCTTTCAAATATGTCGATATTATGGCCATGTTCATCAGTAGCTGAATCCTTCTGAAGGCGCCTTTTCTGGCGCTCCCTTGCCTTGTGATTCTGAAACCAATAGAACACGTTCTTCCCTTCAATCTTCCCGTACCTACGCAATTGTGAGGTAATATGCTGAATTTGATCGGCGGAGGGTGTTCGAGTACCGTGCCTATACAGTTCTTCAAGGGTCCTTAACTGCTCGGGCGTCGGATTCCACCTTGAGCTGACAACAACAGGTTGTACGTTGAAATCCCTCTTGCTTTGATCACCCATAGTTGCTGTACGTCGAAAAAAAAGGTCAAATCAAACCCATACATTTTAGCTATGAATATGGAACCAAAAAAGGTAGACTTACGCAGATGGTGATTTAGTGAAAAGAAGTTGGCGCCAAGGGTATGGGTTCTGGAATAGTTGCTTGCAGAATGTAGGGATCTGGGAATGAGAGGCCTAAGCTTCCTGCCATTGAAGGAATCAGGCATGTTCAACTCAGCACCATCATTGTAACCCACCATCCACATTTTTGAGAGTTTGAAGTTGTGAAAAATATGGGTGGATTGAGGTGTTGGGAGAAAAAGGTAGGGTATGAGAAGAAGATTAGCAAAGCAAAGCTGAAAAAGGAGGGGGGGAGCAAAACAGTTGAGGATTTTAAGATGGGGTTTATCTCTCAACTTTGTTTCTAATTTTAAGGGTCATGATATGTTGAGACTGAAGAAACTGAGGCGAAGATATGCAAAAATTAGAATGGATTAATGGAACATGCCAGGGAATGGCAAATATGAGAAGTGTATTCAGATATGATGAGGTAAGGAGTAGATATATATGAAAAAAAAAATATTCAGTGTAACAAATCCTTCACGTTAACATGAAACATGTGACATGGTATGAAAGATCTGTGACAAAATACAAATAATCTTTGACAAGTTTCTATCATAGAATTTAAAATTTTTTATGCGACAAATTTTTTTTGATTGGAGATACAGCTGACAACGTAATATTCCGTTGCATTTGTCAATTTACAAGTAGATATGAGCATTACACAGCATGGATTTGACGAAAGAGAATCAAGTCAAGAGAAAAAATATTTGTAGGGTGTGATGATGCTTTTTTTTCCTTTTTTTTTTTTTGAAAGAATTAAAAAGAAAGAGAATGGGGAATGGACATTGGTTGAATATGGAACAAAAGTGAGGTTGACTAATGGGGAAGGGAGAGGACAAAAGCAAAAACAAGTGAGGAACTGAGGAGCGTGGAATTCTGGGAGGAGACATGGGGAGTAGCAAACGAAAACGACGTGACGATGATGAGGGTTATCATAAGCCTCATCACCCCTCATTTATTATTTTCCTTATGTCCATGCCTGTCACACTTATTCTCAATCCGAACTGCCCCTCTCCACCTTGTGTTTCCTTGTAACCCCTTTTCACTGTGTTCCATTTTACCCCTTTCATTTCACCTCCGATCATAATATTATGATTGTATAATATTCTCTTACAATATTTCACATTGTATGAAATTATATCATATAAGTAGATATATATTTATTTATAATTAATTTTCAAATAAAAAGAGGCAACCTAAAATACACATTTATACTCTAAAATTCTTCCTACATATTTCTAGGAGTACTCTTCAAATTTTGATTGAACATGCTATTCCACCTCTAACGCAAGCGACAATCGAATTGACTTGCTATTTTTCACTTCAAGGTTTGCTCTACTCTAGAGCTGAATAGAGTCCTTAACAAATAAATACATCCTTTACCGTGCTTTGCCATATATAGGACAATGTGACTCCCCGTTAAACAACTCAACTCATAGTTCATCAAACCGCACGCTTTGCATACTTACCACGACGGAAAAAGCATACCAACAAGTCTACGGCTGCTCTTTTATCTTAAAATAATTATTATTTTT